TGCATTTATTTTAATTTTAAATAAAAAAATCAAAAAAATTGATCCGGTAACTTTGGGACATGATATCTCGCGAATCAAAGTTTCCGGATTTTTAATCAGATTTTAATCCAGAAATTTGTTAACAAAACCTGTGATTTTCCGAAACTAAAAAACTGGATTTTTTCCTGATTTTTGTCTTTTATTTTTTTTTACAGGGTAGTTGCAACTAGGTGATGCTTTATTTGTCATCACGTTGCAACAGTTGCCACGTCATTTTTAGTTGCTGTATCATCTTTATTCTAGGCTATACAAATTCATGTTCGTTATATCACTTAAATTCTATTGGTTCAATATTTGTTTGCTCATTCATTCACTTGTTCATTTAGTTATTCATTCATTCACTTGTTCACTTGTTCGCTCGCTTCACGTGATTTGATCTTTATCCAATAAGATATGAGATATGTATAATCCAATAATATGTAATATTATGACAAAAGATCATTATACAACAATAATCTTTTACTTAACTTATTATTATCTTTAATTATTATTTATTTAACTTTGATTTATCCAACTAGTAAAAGTCATTTTTTGTATTTTTATAAATCATTCGTATTTTTGAATTATAAAATACTTGTTCAATTAATGAAAGTATTAAAATCTATTCTTTTTATATTCTCTTCCAATCATTTAGTGTTCAACTCTCTCAAGTATATACAATTACTATTATTATTTTTATATAATTTTTAATTAAATATTATAATTAGTTCATACTTTACTCATCCATATAAGAATGGTAACAATATTATATTTTTATATTAAGATAATCCTATATTAATCATATTATGATTTATATTTATCACATTCTGGTATGATAAAGCAAATTTTAAAATTAACAAGTTTATAAGTTATGAATGAGCCTCTCATTTATATCACATAATAAAATGTTCACTTTGTCTGGTTTTGTTGCAGTCTGTCCCATTTATTCTTTTGCCAAAGAACAATATAATTTTGACCAATAATAAGGCTATAATCGCCACAACCTATCTACAATTTAATCGACCAATGAATGAGCTTTAACGGACCGGGGGTAAGATTAGTTGGTTGAAATTCTTTGTCCATGAAATTATCTATCATCATGCATAAACTTGCACCTGATCTGATTAATGTAATTGTTTTCAATCGTTCCCTGAAAATAAAGACAGTCGCGCGTTTTGAAAAACATTACCTTGTGAAACTCTTTCTTTCCTCCCGTTACACAACCTCGTTATTCTTTCTTTTGTTTTTTTTTTTGGAAAACTTTTGTCTAAAAAATGACTTCTCAACAACAACAAAAAGGAGGCATAAAGTTGACAGACTTTGTACTTCGACCCTCTCTTGGCAAAGTAGGAAGACCAATTCGTGTTCGAACTAACTTCTTTGAGGTAACCCATTTGCCCGACGTAAATGTCACACACTATGATGTGACTATCACTCCCGATGTCCCTCCTGCTATAAATAAGAGAGTATATAAACTCTTCGAGGATTTGCAACGTTCTCAAGGTTTGGGTGGTATTAAGCCTGTTTTCGACGGTATGTACTAATTTTGAAGCGCCTTATGATAAACTTTAGAAATCAGATAATCATTTTAGCTCTGCGGTCTACTCGACACTTTCATCTGATACATATATCGTTACTCTAATTCCTTTAATTTTTTCATCTAAACAACTATCTGACTTGAATAGGGCGAAAAAGTCTATTTTCACCTAAACCTTTGCCATTCGGTGATGCAAAAACCTTTGATGTATAAAATCTTCATTACTAATTTATAAATAGATTTCTATATTAAACATTTGTTTAATATTCATCTGTTATGCTAATTGAAATCATCACATAATTAATATAGATTACCCTCCCAGAAGACGATGGGATGACTACTGCTAAACGTGCTCCCCGTGCATTCAGTATCAAAATTAAAAAAGTCGGTGTAATCAACATGGAGGAATTACATCGTTTCCTCCAATCCAAAACGGCGAGGACAGAAAATTGTCTAACAGGTAACCAATTATTGATTTTTTTTTATTGCAATCGACACTATTAATTAAATGTCACTCATTTTCAATTTTAGCAATTCAAGTTCTTGACGTTTTGATTAGACATCATCCCTCTATGAATTATTCCACAGTGGGTCGTTCTTTCTACACGCCCGAAGGATCTCAAGCGTTGTTCGGAGGCGTAGAAGTTTGGCAGGGATATTACCAATCTGTCCGTCCAACAATTAATAAAATGATGATCAATGTTGATCTATCCGCCACTGCGTTCTATGAATCTGGGAATCTCGTACAAATGGTGGTCAAAATATTGGGAAGAAGATCGGTAGATGACCTTCGCCGCGGCTTAGATGGAAAAGATCGCATTAAACTTGAAAAATCTATAAAAAACCTCAAAATTCGAGTTACTCATCGCGGAGAAGCTGTCGCAAAACGTCGCTATAAAATCACGAAAATCACTCAAAAATCGGCCCAAGATACTAAATTCGAACAAGGTGATAATGGCATCACCGATGTTGCTTCTTATTTTAATAAAACATATCAAATACGCTTGAACTATCCATATTTGCCATGCGTAACGGTAAAGAAAGATATGCACTATCCTATGGAAGTATGCGAAGTGATTGAGGTAACATTAAGGAGTACATATAAATTTCACTAATCGCTTTTTATTGATTGATCATTTATTATATATTTCATCCTTTATATAATAATAACAGGGACAACGTTTTCTCAGAAAGCTCAATGAGCGACAAACGGCTGATATGATCAAGTTCACTTGTCAGCCCCCGCATATCCGAGCTAATAAAATAAAACAAGGACTAGAAATTTTGAATTATCGTAACAATGAGTATCTCAGGCAATTTGGAATGAGTGTTTCAAGTGATATGGCCATGGTATGTATTTGTATTTATCTATTGTAATTCGTTATACGACTATTGAAAGCAGGTGATTTTAATATTGGATTAAATTCAAAGGTCCAAGCGAGAATTTTGCCTACGCCTACCTTAAAATACCATCCTAATTCGCGTGAACATACAGTGACACCAAGAGATGGTTCATGGAATTTACGTGACAAGAAACTGTCCGGTGGTGCTACGCTTACCTCTTGGTCAGTAGTTGCATTTGGCTCTGAACGAGATTGTCCTCTACCAGCTGTCCAAAACTTCATTCGCGAACTTGTCACCACGTGCACAGATACTGGCATGGTAATAAATAAATAAATTCTCATTTATTAATAAATAAGTATTTTATTTACTTTATTTTTTAATACTTCAATGTTTAGAATATTCCAACTAAAAGTCCTCCTATCTCGAACGCTGGTTATCATGCTGACGTTGAGAACGTTTTGAAACAAGCATGGCAGAAAGCCGGAAATGCCGCTAAAGCAGCACCTCAACTTATTGTCTGCATATTACCCAACACGGGCGTTGCGTTATACGCGGCAATAAAACGTGTTAGTGATACTATTTTGGGTGTGGCAACTCAATGTATCCAATCTAGACATATGATGCAGGCCAAGAAACAATATTGTGCAAACGTATGCTTAAAGATGAACGTCAAGCTAGGTGGCTACAATGTGCACCTACTACCAAATCAAGTTTCATTTATATCAGAAAAGCCTACTATAATAATGGGTGCTGATGTTACTCATCCTGCTCCTGGTAATGATGAAATTATTTATATGACAGTTTATACAATGAAAGTCAATTAATCTTTTATTATTTTCACTAATTAAAGGTAGCATTGGGCGTCCTTCCATCGCTGCCGTCTGCGGTTCACTCGACCCAAAAGCAACAAAATATTCGGCAGCAATCAGAGTACAAGCTGGTCGTACCGAGATTATTGCTGATCTGGCTAACATGGTTAAAGAACTCCTTAAAAACTTCTATAAAGCTTCGGGAAAAAAACCAGAACGTATTCTGTTCTATCGTGATGGTGTGTCTGAAGGACAGTTTGAGCATGTATTGAACAGAGAAATAGAGGCGATAAAAGGTATTATTATAGTTATTTAAAAGTTCCTTCAGTTTAAATGAATCACTATAACCTTCTATACTATTAAATAGATGCTTGCAAAAGTTTGGATGCTACGTATAATCCTAAGGTGACCTTTGTAGTTGTTCAAAAGAGGCATCATGCACGATTTTTCCCCATTGATCAAAAAGACTCGGAACGCTCGGGAAATTGTCTCCCGGGAACGGTGGTCGAATCTGGGATTACACACCCTTTCGAATTCGATTTTTGTAAGTATATATTAATATAATGCTATTCTTTTACCTTTTACTTAGCCATAGTCTTCTTTTATTTTTAGATTTGCAAAGTCACTCTGGGCTGCAAGGTACATCTAGACCTTGTCATTACCATGTCATCTGTGACGAAAACTTTTTCACGCCAGATTCGTAAGTTGATTATATATTTATGTATCATTTTTTTACCAAATTTATTAAGATTTAATATTCTTTAAAATTTTTTGCAATAGATTACAGACCTTATCGTATAATCTCTGTTATCTCTATGCAAGATGTACGCGCTCTGTATCGCTGGTGACTCCCGTCTACTATGCTCATTTAGTCTGTAGTCGTGCTCGTTTTCACTCTAAAGATGACAACTTTTCGGAGTTTACCGACTCTGCCGATGATGGTGTCGGAGCAGCAGCTAGCTTTAGTGCCGTAAAACCGGAATTGACGAGAGTAAATTTTTTTTTTGAAAATTCAATTGTTTTTCTTTTTTTACCTACTAACTATACAAATATTAAAACATTTAGGTCATGTACTTCATGTGAACGCTCTTTCTCGCGTATGAAGAATTAATCATTAACAGAATGGTTTTGAATGTGTTTTACATATAAATCTTGAATGTAATATATCTTAAAAAAATATATAATTAATGACAGGAATTGTATATATCATTTTTCTTAATAAACGTGTTAATTAAAAGTCAATCTAAAAACTAACAATATAATTTTGAATAATTCCAGTTAAAATTTCTTTTTTAAAAATTTTAAGATTTTTATAAATATTAAATTTATAACAAATAATATATTTAATTATGTAAATTATTTATTTATTATACAGTTCCTGGCGAAAGTAATGGCAAATGTGTTTTTTGTTTAGATTTTAATGAGAAATCATTCAAAATTGTAAACAAGTTTTTATAATATTACAAAGCATGTTAACATAGTAAAAGTTTGTGAAATTTCGTGTCAAAAGTGATAAATTGAAATTTTAATATTTAAGTTGGAATAAAAAATTATTTAAAAATATCTTTAATAAGCAATTTTGAAAATAATTTTATGAAATATATTTAATATATTTGTAATTTAAAAAATTTTTTAGTTCATTTTTATTCAAAATAAAGACTTTTTGAATAATATTTATTAAATAAAAATGAACTAAAAATTTTTTTAAATTATAAATATCTTTTTTATATTACAAAATATATTTTCATAAAATTATTTTCAAAATTTCTTATTAAAAATATTTTTTTATTTCAACTTAAATGTTAAAAATTTCAATTTATCACTTTTAATACGAAATTTTGCAAAATTTTACTATATTAATGTGTTTTGTGATATTATAAAAACTTATTTCTAATATTCTAGAGAATATATCTACAAATTTTAATAATTTTTGAATAATTTCTCATTAAAATATAACAAGAAATATATTTGCTATTATTTTCACTAGGAACTATATATTAAAAAAAATATATAATAAAAAATTAAAAGCTATTACTTTAATTTTAAAAAAATATAGTAAAATTAACATTATTGCTTTATATTAAAATTTGTTATTTTATTAATAAATATTTTTTATTTT